AAGTAAGAACGAAGACGGCGATCGCAAATTCTACAAAACTACATTTATAGATTCGGACATAGGATCGAAAAAAATTTCCGGACTTCAATTGCACGGGTGAAACTCGAACGACTCCCGCCAGCCTATCAATTGGCTCCCATTGTATCGCATACATATATATTTCGATTGTCGCACAAATATATAATATATATTTAGTATATATCAACGAAGACACTTTTTTTCTTTCACAGCTGAATATCTTGCTCGCGAAAGAATACTTTTTCTTCACAAGCGAGGATAATTGGCCGTGTATCACATTTGAGGCGTTAAGTATACGCGAAAAGCTTTCGCTTTTTTTTCTCTGTTTTTTTTTTCACTTTCGCCGTGCCTCCCGTGCCAGCCTTTGGCCGAACAAAAAAACAGATTGTTAGCTGACGAAAGAAAATTGGAAAATGGACTTGGGAGCGTTACAAAGGAAGAAACGGGTCGCAAAAACGAGCGCAAACGCTTTCGTCCTGTATACGCGGAATATGTATTTGTGTGTGTGTGTATATATATGTTTATGCATATATGTGTATATATATATGTCGTGTGCAGGCGGGATATATTTCCTCTGAGAGCCAAGAGATCGACCTGTTTCACATTACATCGTAACGCGCATTACATATAGCGTGTATCTAATTTGTGTATGTGTGAAGAACGCAGTATAAAATATTGTATAAATATATAAATACTTGATTGAAAAAATAAATATATTAAATTAAAAAAGAGACATACACATAAGGTATATTATTTGTTATTAATCATTTATTATTAGATATTTATACGCAGAAATATTAGGTATTTGATATGCAGAGATATGCAGGTCAAGTCTATAACAGAAGGATAAACGCGAGGTTGGCTTGGTAAATATGGAGTCCCTTGTGATGCGTCCGAATTGAAACATAATTAACCCTTTGATTGTGATACGTAAAAAAACTGCTCTCTCAAAATTTCCAACAAACGAAACAAAAATGCGCTGGTACGATGTGTACGTACGACTGTTTGAATTCATTATTTCCGAATTAATTAATGTAAAATAATGATAAAATAAAAAATGAGGAATTATAATTACTTATAAGAGTTTAGTATTATTTATTACAGTTTTATTTGCTTTTATTAGAGAGAAAGTTCTCAATCTTATATATATATATATTTGTGTACACACTTTGCACCTATATGTAGATGTTCATAATCAAAGGGTTAAAAGTATTAATTGTTTTAACAAAATTTAAGACGGAGTTAGAACGGAGTGAGAATATATTGTGCGATTAATAAGTGAATTAATTTGAAAGAAAAAATTGAACTACATATATAAAAATATCACACAAATGCCGAAAGATAATCTGTGAACAATCCAAACATAACCCAAAATTAATTTTATCTGCAAAAAGATAAACTACCGAGATTATAAAAAGAAACTAAAAATTTTTTTTTTAGTCCTATCTTTTCCGTTAAACGATGCGATAAATCATTATCTTCATCGTATTTCACAAACAAAAAGATTATGAGAATCAGAAACATTCAAATTCAGAAAAGTCTTGAAAATAATAGCACATTTAACTTTTATAATAATTTTAATAAAGAAAAGGATATTATATGGAAATAAAATTTGTGTAAAAAAAAAATTATTTTTTAAGAGTCACTAATTACCTCGGTAATACCGATCTCAGTGAAAAAGAAAAAAAGAAAAAGAAATAAAAGTGCTCCATGCATCCAGTTTAATAAAAAAAAATCTCACAAGTCCAGCTAAAATTAAAGATCAGTCCATGGTAAGGAAATTCCAGAGATCGGTAGATTTCGTTCGATAATTAAGTAGAATCGAAATGTCATTAGATTTTCGGAACGCATTCTCAGGACTCCAAATGGGATGTCTTTAGCAATCGCTGCTGCTTCGGAAGGGAAATATCGGGACACCGTCGTCGCTTCCGGTGGCGACCTCGTCGATCGCGAAACGTACGTTCCTCTCGAGTTCGTATTTCGATTTCGCGACGGACGGCGTCGAAATTTTTTTTTTCTATGAAGAACTAACCGACGAAGGAATTCGCGTCGCGTACTTTTTTCCGTACCCTCTAGTCTTTTTACGAAATTCACGCATCTTGCGATTCGTCTCTGCATAAGGAGAGGGAATCTTTTATTATCCGCGTTTCTGTGTCAGTCTGTTTTTATTTCTTTCTTTCTCTTTGTTTCCAACGTCGCGCTGATTTTCAATCCGCTGCGATCGGAGAATTGAAGGTGTTATCTTAACAATGTTCAAATTGCATTTCCTGAATAAAAAAATTTGAATTGTATATATTTAAGGCTGAATGTGATCGCTTGATTGCAGAATGACTGATTTAAAATTCGGTCCTTTTTTTCTTTCTTAAGAATGTTGAGAATCTTTAGCGCTATAAATGTGTGATAAAAATACAGAGATGACAAATATCTCCGAGTATGAATGTCAGAACGAAATATATCTCTAGATAGATAGATTTGCTGTATGAAAATGCTTTAAATAGTTTATATTCTCCCTACGTTAATCTTGCATGTCGATATTTCTAAATGAGATCAAATGCAACTGTTACGATAACACTTTCAATTACAGAATAGCATTCATATTCCCATTAATGCATTAATAATATGAATGCGCATAAACTAATAATTTCGAGGTTCTATATATAGCATAAACTAAATATACAATTGATTATAAATAATGTACGAGTGGCGGTGGTCTTTTTCCGTTTCACGACGACGATGATAAGGGAATAATAGTTGCTGCTAGATAGGTATAACGATGATAAAATAATAATAGTAATAATAATATATTAATATGATCATAGCAATTAGAGCGTCATCGACGATTGACGTCACTCGCGTGATGATCCGATGCATAAGGTACATTTTAAGATAGGATAAGAGACACTCGCGTTTATTCGAATGAAGAAGAGAAAAAGCGGGAGTAAAAATGAGGGGCAAGACCGAACTATCGTTTAATATAACAATTTCGTGTGCGGCGCTGATTATGGAGTGGTTGGGCGGCGCTGATTACGAAAATACATGTTTCTCTACTCTACTTATTTTTTCGTACATACATATACATTTGCTGTCCAGACAAAACAGCACGCAAGCGCATATACTCAACCATACCGCTACTTTCCATTATTTTCCAGCTAGTTCTTTCTCCAATTATTTCTCTCTCTTTTTCTCTCCTTCCTTCAATATCATTCAATCTTCATTCTCTCCCGCCATTCTCACCGTGTAGCCTAATCACTGTAATATGGAAGACAATCGAAGTTTACAAAAGGCACCCACTTATGACTGTTAACGCACTGAAAACGAACGCTATTATATTTCTGAGTATATTTAAAGAGAAAACCTCTATCTATTCACTCTCTGGAGTCGCTCCTTATATAAATAATAAAAGAAAGGAAAGAAAAACGAAACGCGAGTTTACGTAATCGAGCGTGCTTTCAGTGCAAACTAAAGCGGGATTATTTGTTTACGATTGCAGACGGCCATAAGTTACATGGCCGGGAACGGTGCATCGACGATGCTGGAACTGGCGCTCTCCTTCGAAGGCGTGGACCCGAATCTGCCCGACAACGAGGGTAACACGCCGCTCCATTTTGCCGCCCAAGCCGGTGAGTGCGATCGATTATGACATGAATAATATCTAAATACGTGATACTCGTAATATTATGCGCCAGGCGCGTAACATGATCGATATATCGATGACTCGCTGAGAATTAATAATAATAATAATAATAATCATAAACTAAATCTATAACAAAGTTTGCTTTCAAGTATAAATTAAATGAAAATATTTCTTGTGTAAGCATAAGAAGAGTTTAGCACTTATATATATATACAGAATGATATCGATTTTTGAAAACCACGTCACTTACAGGCGCTTGCTTTCCTTTCTGTAATCATTAATTTCCATCGAAGCGACGCGGGGTCGGCGTTTTCCCGTCGAGATTCACGGCGAAATAAACTTTTCAAAATTCTGCAAACTCGTACTTGTGTTTCGAATGAGACGCAAACATCGAAAAAAATATCCCTTCGAGAAATCGCTCGGCCCGCGCGAGCATTCCGACTTCCGCCTCTCACGCTATTCTCTTTCTTTCCTCTCATTCGATCATTCATTCATCTTTTCTCTCTTTCTATCTATCTATCCCTCTCTCATTCTCTCTCTCTCTCTTTCTTATTCTCATACGTTCGCGCACCCACATATATTTTTTATAATAATATATTTTTTATAATAGTAAATATTTCT